TGTACTACAGCTACTCCTCCCCGGAAATACCAACTGTAAACAAATATCACAAAACCTTTAAATAAATATAGACTAAATATAATTTTAAGGGTAAAAGCATTTGAAGACAACCAGTTAATAACAGTTAAGCATATCTGGAAAGTAAAAGAAAGTAACCACCCATGTTTGATGATTTCTATGTGTCTGTTCGATGGTGCTGTATGATGACATGGTGCCTTTGTGATAGTTGTGTTATCTAACTTACAATATTTGCAATGTTATGACGACTGTTTTCAGGCTAGTCAATTGTGATGTTTTCATCGAATCCAGTACTTTCTGTTGCCCGGTAGTTTATGTTTATATTTATTTCGCTCTTGTTGATTTAGATGGCAGCGGGCAGGAAAACCGAATGATTTTAACATATCTGACTGGTTTGAAAAGATTATGACACAGTTGGCGGACCTCACGTCACTTAGTATTATATGGGAAGATAGATACACAGCAAGCAACTACAGGATCGTCCCGTATGTATATTACCCTAAGTCATTATAATCCCATTAGTATTTCATACATACCCTGAAACAAATCCATGACAGCCCATGCAAGTTTTATGGAACATATATGTGGCATGTCTAGATCTGGGCCATGGGCTCTTTCCATTATATTTTATGATTATTATTATATAAACCGTTTTTTTCTGTAAAATATGTTCATATCAGAGACTAGATGTTTGTATATTATGTCATTATCACATGCCACTGTTATTTTCAAGGTCTCAGTAAGATTTTCAAAACATTCTACAGCTGTATGATAGACATGTGAAGGGCATTTCAATACTGTGACGCATCAGCGTCCGAAATTTCAATTCCTTAGTTTGGGTTACGTTCATCAATTGACAAGCCTTTGCGTGTGTTTTGACGGGTGCCATCGTTGGGACAGATATTTTAATACCTGGTATCATCACTATTTGATAGTGGTTCATACACACATGTTGATGATATATAGGCTTTATTCTTATGGATGTGGAAGCTTACGGATTTTGTAGATTCATAAATACTCATGCCAATAATGGTTGTCAGCCCCCTCCCACCCCAACCCCTACACACACCACAAAATTTGAAGGGGTGACAACCATTATTGGCATGAGTATATGTGCACGACAACGCTGGATTGGATTACTTGCGTAATTTACGCAGATACGCAGCTTATGTGTACCTCTGCTGTAAAACAAACAATAAAGAAATCTGATACAATGTTGAGTTATAAAATGAGCTAAGTTTGTAAATCAAGACAACGTACTGAAAGTGAATTGTAATAACAGTATGCAATACTCGGACAGTTGGAATGTCAATAAAGTAAGTGACAATTATATTCACCTGAAAGCAGTGGTGGGTATGCAGGTGAAAACAACAATCTTCACAGTCTTGATGTAATGGGAGATGAGTGGGGCACGTACTTGTCCACTTAACAAATCTTTTCTTAAACATTCCAAGACTATGCTAGACATGTCTATGTTGTTCTAGAAACTTCGACTTTCCACTTGCTCCCTATGTCTATGTCTATATATTAGCACTAGACTGCCCTCTAATGTTGGTTAACAGAAATAATGTATCGTTAGATTGTTTTACAATGAATTATATTACCCCTTGACATTACAAACATATACATGTACGCAATGCAGTCAAACCGACATAACCCGCCATGATATTGCTGGACTGTGACTAAAGGCGGCGTTAAACCATACTCACTCACTCATACCGACGTAAACGATGGTTCCAGAACCAAACCGGTTGTGTTGGACCCTGCAAACCCCACGAAAACGTCATCCCCGATCGACGAAGCTGTGCAGAGATTATGGAGTGTGCCAGAATTGTGGTCAGTCGGAGCCAACAACTGAAGAACTACCTAAAAGAAGGCCCTGCTCCAATCATTGAAGGGATGGGTAGAGGGGAATCCCTACAACACTTTATCCAGGACAAAGTACAGCCTAGCAGTGACTTCCGCCGGAAGTGCGACCACCTGGTAGATCGCGTGACGTACTTCCTGCAACATCACGCGCATCTCAGCGTCAACATGGTTGTCAGAGTGAGTAGACGTATTAAGGATACATTTTATATTTGTCTGTTTGAGTGAGGTTAGTTTTACGCCGCTTTTAGTAATATTCCAGCAATATCACGGCGTGGACTCAGAAATGGGCTTCACACATTGTACCCATTGAATCGAACCCGGGTATTCGGCGCGACGAGCGAATGCTTTAACCACTAGGCTACTCCACCTCCCTCATCATACATAAATGCTTTACAGGAATGTATGCTACAGGAGATTTGTCTGATTTTTTAATGCTTATATATGTATAGGTACATGCAGCTCTCTTATAGTTATTTTTTTTTAGACGAAGTGTCTTTTACATTTTAGAACAATATTTAGCTTGTTTTTAAATCTATGACGATAAAAGAAACAATTTTGTTTTCCAAACGAACATAAAATGAATAATAGATTTAGGTTGTACATAGGTACATATTCTGCTAGTCGAATATCCAGTACCAAACGTGACTTCGAGATATCCAAACATTCGAGATAGCAAGTCATGAGCATCCAGACAGACTAAACATTATTACCAAAACACAGCTATGTAATACACAAGAATCTGAGAACAACAGTATGTGTATGCGAAGACCAACTGAAACGTATGTCACAGGGGTTCAGTTGTATTTTTAAAATATGTTTTATTATAATGTTTTCTTTATAAATTTTAAAAATATTTTATAATACTTTGTCTTCTCAGGAGGTTCACTTGGAAAAAGCACCAATGTTTTTGGAAAGTCGGACGTCGATCTTGTGATGTTTGTAAACAACATCAAGTCTGTCGAAGACCTTTCAATGGAAATGCCAAACCTGCTGAATATGTTGGAAGATGCCTTGAACTCGAAGTGGACAGATTTTGCAGGATGTTTGGAGCAGGGAAACCGCTCGGACCGGGGACTGCAGTACAACCTCAGTTGCGGAGAAAGCGACCATGTCCATGACGTGGACATCTTGCCTTCCTTCAACATTCTCCGAGGTACCGATACTCATTCACAGAGGGCATTGAGGAAAGTCTTAGAGTTTTTTCCAAGTATGTTCCCGATATCCATATCTTAATGAAGGAATATTTGTTTGTTTGTTTAACGCCGCGCTCAGCAAGATTCCAGCTGTTTTACGGCGGTCTATAAATATCCGAGTCGGGATCACACAATCCCATGACTGACATATTCTACGGTAGTGCACCTAAGACAAACGGGGCGGTAGGGTAGCCTTGTGGTAAAAGCGATCGCTCTCCAATAGAACCCCCGGTTTCGATGCCCAACATGGGTGCAATGTTTGAAGCCCATTTCTGGTGTCTCACGCAGTGATGTTGCTGTAATATTGCAAAAGGACCTAACACCATACTCAGAAACTGTCGGAAACTCTATTTTTAAAAACATTATCCTGTACGACTGAGCTATTAGATGAGGCAGGTGGCACAAAAGTCCCCGACTCACCCTTGATGCTCTGATGTTCGTACAATCAGCCTTCCTGAAACTGTTGTATCCGTGCTCTTCTCACACAATCAAGTTTGTATCAACTGGGGGTGCGTGTGTGGTGTGGGGTGGAGAACTCCAATTATACTTGCTTCTACTGACAGCTGCTCGACATAAACCCGTTGTTCAAAGAGCTAAACAAACCTGTGCATGTAAGCACATATTTTTCAGAAACCACTCTTGTAGACATGTGCTTTTTCCGGAGGTTTGAAACATACAAAAGGAAAGAATCTAATGTAAGATTCTCACCCGAAATATGGAAATATGGAATGAGAGGCGTCCGTAAGATATTGCCTCGTAGGCTTGACACTGAATTTTTTTTTTCAAGAGAATGAGGGCAAAACATACACAAAGAACATATTTAAGCACCCCTGTATTTTTGCAATGATATGTTTTCCACACGTACATAAACCTTCTCATGGTGACCACGATGGAAAAATATGAGTTTTTACTGACCCGTATGATCCTTTGACTCATAAAAAAAACGACAAAATATTTGGAATCCATGTTGATTTTATGATGACAATTGCTCATTTAAAAAAAACTTCTTATTTTCATACAAAGCCATGTCTGTACAAGTATGGCCCTGGAATGTTTAATGTTGAATTTATCGGTAAATGTGAGCATTCAAAATGACATTTTGCGTGTCTTAAACGATTCAAGGTCAATACCAAGTGTAACGTCCGCGTGACTGTATGACAGCCAGCACTCTCCTCCTCGTACCCCGTCTGCTTCCTGAGCCGCTGAAGGGGCAGTCTGCGCCATTGTTCGTGTAAAGCAGCTTCCAATGGGCCAGGTTCGGTACAGGAGGATCCCTTTGTTGCACACGAAACCAGTCGTGTCCCAGATATGATCCAAAGGGTTGAGATCGGGGCTCATTCAGTCGTGAGATATGTTAGGGGATGCTTAAAAATTAGTTCTTTGCGTATAGATAATTTGAACTACTTCGACTGATCTTTGCGGAATCTTTGTGGTTTCAGTAAAAACTCCAGATGAGGTGTTCACAGAAATGAAATCAAAGACGGACAATGAGAGGAGGCTGTACGCGCCATGTTTTTCTCAGAAACAGGTGGACTTCGTTAAGCAAGCTCCTATCAAAGTGAAGAATCTGATACGGCTTGTGAAATACTGGGCAAAGGTAACTACTTCAACTTTGGTAGCCTAACATTTGGATCACTTTAAACCGTTTCGGTATGACATTGTTGATTGTATATATACTGTTAAAACAAATGTGTAATTTTCCGGGTCATGTTTTATAAAAAACGTCTATGGGCGACAGTAAGAAACATGGAGTCTTGGCTTGGAGTAGTTCTTACTGAGGTCTTTTTCAAGTTTTGAACGACTTACCTGGAGTGGCCTAATGGTTAAGTCTATACTGCATCTATTCCTCGTCACGCCCAAGACCCGGGTTCGATTCTCCACATGGGTACAATGTGTGAAGCCTATTTCTGGTGTCTCTCGCCGTGACATTGCTGAAATATTGCTAAAAGCGGCGTTAAACTAAAGTCACTCACTCACCCATGACAGGTAGAAGTCAACAGAGAAGTCAAAGCTGTGACGTCATTCTTCCTGGAACTAGTTGTCATCTCCCATTGGAAGAAGAACGGCTCCCCATTCGACTTCGTCACCCAGGATTGGTTCCGGGAGGTCATGACCAAGCTGACCGATCTGACGTCACTGCGGATACTGTGGCCCGACCAATACGACGCAGCTTTGTACTATGTATTTCCGTACGTTGCACTTCTGATCCACATTTTGATTCACCTAGTTAGGTGTGCGACTTCTCGTTCCGACATGATCATGAAAATCGAGTGTGTGCCAAAATATAGTTGATTTAAATGCTGAATCATCTTACCAGGTTTCAAAATACTCGATGCAACAAAACAAACAATACCGTGTAAATAATAGGTAAATAAATCGACATTTCAGGCGTGTGCATTCGTAAGTTCGTTTGTTATAAAAATGAAGAAATTCTGTTTTTATGCAACGCATATATTTTGTAGCGCACCCTCACACGGTCAATCATCAAAATGTTGACCATTGTTGCGCAGAAGAGATAAAGTAGTCTCCCTTTAACTGCCCTTCATCTAGATCTGAAACTGTTTATAAACATTTGTTCTATTGATTATTGTAGACAGTGATGGTTCCTTGCATACATACCGATTAGAAATAGTCATGTTTTGTAGCTTTCTGCTTTACGCAATCAGGCTGGATTTACACTAAGTCCGCATTTTTTGACGCATGCGTTACCGTGTGCGTTTTTACCAATACACTAGGTACGATCATCTGCGATATAAGACGGATGAATATAAGATGGAGGAAAAATCCTAGCATCTCTGGCAGTTTCTGTGCATGAGAAGGAGAACAGAACACGGAGATGGTGGGTACATCCCTTAAACCAACAAAGATTACTTGAAGGAGCCTATAATCGTCTTCTAAGGGAATGATTAGGGAATTAAATAACATCAATCTTTATGTGTTTTCGAAATATTGAACTAAAAGTATGTAGAAAATATTTACTTTCATACCAACATTGTTCTCTCATACACTCAGGCATTACAAATTCCACATATATAGAATTTGAGCAGTACTGACTTCCCTGGGGAACATAGTTCTGAAGGTTCTGTTGACCAAATTGAGCCTCATGAAATATCTGGGCAATTTTATTTTTCATAAGACTTTTAGAAGCACCTTGATGTAGCTGGTTCTGAGAATGAAATTTATCAAAGGTTTGTCATATTATTGTATATGTTATGCACAGACAGGCGCAGAAACACATTAAAAATAATATCTCATAAAAAAACAATCGGCATCACGTATTTTTATCGAAAGATGAGGAAATAACCTTACCTGATTGTCAACGTGTTGGGGAAATACCTCATTGGAATGACGTCATCAGGGGAATTCCTCATGCGAGTTCATTTGCGTTGCGTCAAAAATAGGAGGCCTACCTATCTAAATCGCTTCGGATCGCAACGCATGCAAACTTCGCCCCTAGTGTATTGTCTAAATGGAAAATGTACTGCTTGCGTTTTTTCGGACGCAACGCATGACGCAACGCCGAGAAAATCGGACGTAGTGTAAATCCAGCCTAACCTGGTGTAAACACTAATTTGCAGTGACCCGTTCATATGATTTTAATCACTGGTGTTCCTTCTACTCCCATACTCCCAATGGGATCTGTGTTGGTTAATAATCCTCTGGTTTGAAATGTCATGCAATTTATGTTTCCAGAAGGAATCCGGTCGTATTGGATCCCACCAACCCTTACATCAACGTAGCCCCTCGACCAAAGCATCACTCCCTGGTGATGACGTGTGCCCAGAACGTGTTGTACAGGATGCAGGCGTGGCAGAACTACAGAACAGGGCGTTATGCTGACAGTTAGAACACTCTGAGTAGCAGGATTTGTTGCACTGATACATGGGAGTGCTTACCCAGTGTAACAGATCAAGACGAATGGCACTGACAAGGCAGATTGTCCAAATCTGCACATTATTGTTGAAACCCAAGTATATCACAACACTTCTTTCTTGTTTGGTTTGTTGTTTAGCGATGCGCACATAAAATATTCCAGTTTTAAGAGGATGACCTGTAAATAATCGCGTCTGTACCACATATCTGGTGTCTTACAGGAAGGTCAACGATCTACACAAGCTATAGGACGGAATGCAGCTACAAAATCAGGGTACCTGACCGCGCGTTCCCGTTGCTCTCAGGCCGAGATCCTATGCAGCAATTTAACATGGATCCCTCAGACACAATTACTATCTCCGAGCCGACTCTTGTTTCATCCCTTTGATGTCGAGCGCCAGAAGGAGTAACATTAAGAATCGTATTTTAAGGTCTCAGTATGACGCGGACGGGGTTCGAACCACGTACTAACCTTCCACCCGTGACGATCCGGGTTGGAAATGGTGGTCAGGCTGGCTGACTTGGTTGACACATGTCATCGTATCCCATTTGCTTAGATCAATGCTCATGCTGTTGATCACTGGATTGTCTGGTCCAGACTCGATTATTTATAGTCCGCCGACATATAACTGGAATATTGCTGAGTGTGGCGTAAAACTTAACTCACTCACTCACTCAAGTAAAGCCAACCCACCTTGACAACCATTGAAGCTCCGAGTGACGTGTGATGTTGCAGGAAGTACGTGACACGTTCAACAACACGGTCACACTGTTGGCGGAGCTCGCTGCTCGGCTGTATAGTGTCCTGACTGAACTGCTGCAGGGTCTGTCCCCTTCCCGCGGCCATATTGCTGGAATGTTGCTGAATGCGGCATAAAACAACAAACAAAACCAAAACACCAATCTTCCGGTCGGCGGGTATTCACTCAAAAACGCGGTTAAGTTGGGTATCATAAACAAACATGGTTGATTGGTCGTTCAGATCGTAGAACGAGAAAGCAGGCATGTCTACTGGCTAACGCAAAAAGATGGCTTATGGCAACACTATGCAAGATATTCGATGGTAAACCTAGAAAATATCGATATCCCGAATTTCCCATAGAATCAATTAAAAAACCTAATTAAAGACATTAAGAATGTCTTTTGGAAAGATGTTTTTCAACTATTTATTTTAAGTTGCAAACCTTTGAGAATATTGACGAATTCACATATCTCCCTTTCATATAATGATTTTAAATCATATTAAATGGTATCAGTGTGGAATTAGATACATTCGGGACCTAATGACTGATTCAGGACACTTAAAAGAATTCAATGTCTTGAAATACGACTTCACATTAAATGACAATTTCATTTCTTATTTCAGATTTATACGTTTCATGCCTAACTCATGGATTAAATTATCAAAAGAAAGCCTGGTTAACAGAACAACTTTAAATATTAATTGTAAGATTCTCAGGGACAATATTTCATCACTAGATTGTAAACTATCTATAAACTGATTCGTAATGATGAGGGTATCTTTTCTCTGCAATAGTTTACTTCTAAATGCAACTCAAAGTTGGATGCACACAATCAGAAAATTACCTTTCCCGAAGTTTTAGATCAATACGAAATTGTTGAGGACAGCAGGACACGGAATTTCCAATATAAACTCGTATCATACCATTTCTTTACAAAATAGGATTGATAGAGGATAACATGTACATTTTGCCAGTCAGAAAGTGACACATTAGAACATTTATTGTTTTCCTGTCGAAAATTTCAAATTATGATAAATGAGTTCAAATTCTAGTATGATAGTCGAACCTATTAAAAATTAGACTTAAATATACTCCTGGAAACGAATACGGGGACACGTGAAAGTACAAGAAGCGTTCATTTCTTCTTTTTCCAGGTTTCTTCACAAGGTATTGTATTGCACTGTGAGTGAAATTCTGGAAATAAATAAAGGAACATTTGTAATTTCATATGTTCCCTTATTCGTTTCTATGAGTATATGAATAATTTCCTTCTTGGCGAACTAAAGATGAATATCCGAAGGGCTTGAAAACCACCCTTTTATAATAACCAAGATTGTCATTCCAATAACACTATGCATATTCCAAAATTTACCAAAAATTACCTCTATTAAAATATAATTACAACATAGAAAAATTCATTTCAGGAGACAATACCAAATTCGCCCCCGTCCCCCTTACAATTATTTGGCAAATACTTACTATCTCTTCTCCACTTTCTTACTTTTCTATATCCCTATTCCTTTTTCTTTGTACTTTATTCATACAACCATTTAACTTATCTCGTCTCTTATTTATTTCGAAGCTTGAATATACAGTCGAACCCCAATGTCTCGAACTCGGTTGGGGCGAATTGTCGGTGGTGTCGAAGTCATCTCTCGGTCCATGCCGATTTCCTGTATTTATCATTATGTCTATGCTGACAGATGTGTCGAACACTCTGATACGTCGAACTGTTCCCCTGGTCCCTACGAGTTCGACACAACGGGGTTTGACTATATGTATTTTCTGTATTATCCAGCTGTATGAATGTTGTATTATGTGCTATCGTAATGCAAAATATATTAAAGAATTACTGCTTCTATTCCTCGCCCAGATCCATTATGTCAAGTTCATTATTGTCCAGATATGTTCTTATTATGACGAATCGGATGTCACTTGCTTTAAACAGGCAATACAAAAACGGTTTGTCCTATAGACATTTCGTTCATGTATCTACACATAATGTACCCTGATTGCATAGATTGATGCTCATGACATTGATTATTAGACTGTCTGGTCCGGACTGGAATATTTACAGATCGCCACCATATAACTGGTATATTGCAGAGTGGAAGGTTACACAACATATACTCATGCCAATAATGGTTGTCACCCCCACCCCACCCCCTCTCCAATTAAGAACCCCAACCATTATTGGCATGAGTATACTATGGAATCCTAGAAGAGACATTGTCGCGCGTTCTCGCATTGTCGCCCTCTCAAAAAGAAGCAAAATGAACGGAAGCGCGACAATGCGACACATTCATCATGTCGCATTGTCCGCATTTTTAGGCTTTCGTATAAGATATAAGATTTACGCCGCTTTCGTGCAATATACAGAAATATTAAGATGGGGAATCGAACCCGGGGCCTTCGGCGTGACGAGCCAACGGCTTTAACCACTAGGCTACCCACCTCCCCCTTTCGTATGTCGCATTGTCGCCCTTGGGATGAATAGAAAAATATTATTCAAAACGCGACAATACGACAAATGGCCGAAATGTCGCACTGTCGCATTGTCGCGCTTTGGTTAATTTTGCCTCTTTTTGGCTTGTTTTTGAGAGGGCGACAACCTGACAATGTCCCTTCTCGAATTCCATAACATACAGACGTAATGTGCAAGCATTTTCTGAGACAAAGCCATGACATTAAATTCATCTCGATAACGAAATGATAACAGAAACTATTCACATGTTGGTTACTTACATTTCTTTATCTCACAGATCTTTACACACAGAGACACATGTCTTTCATTCAGATTCAGATACCAATGTCCGTGATAGCAATAGGTTAGGTATTACGCTATAAAGATCCCTGGGAATTGTATATCTGGTAAATATCATGAAAACATCATTGCATCATATATTATTGCGCACATTCAATACCAGCGAATGTTAACATCTTTATTTAGGAGGGATACTGCCTTTGAAATTAACATAGTGAGCTACAGAACATGGCCGTGGACACGTATTAAACTTTATCGTGGACTCCGAATTAAATTCACCGGATGGACTCGGGGGGCACCATAATGAAAGCTTAGGCAGATCATCGGAAACAGCGTCTTCAAATTCTGACGCAAAGATATTTGGCACGGTTAAGCTTCTGCTCCTCCTTCCGTCCCCCGGGGGTGGCCGACACCCCGGCGATCCGGTCGACCTTCCCCCCATACGGACGTATAGGTCAAAGTCGGGTACCACCTTGACTGCACCATCATGTTTCGTCTCCAGCTCGTCGTGAACATTGTGTGAAGACTGGTCTGGCTTCCACCATCCCCATTTGAACAGGTCATCAGTGGGTCTGCCCGTTTTGAGGTCTGAGGAACTTAGAGCAAGTCCTCGTGGATGGCCGACCCTCAGACTTGTATCAGGTTCCATGTAAACGCTCCTTGGTTTATCTTGAGTCGCGTTAAAAGCATTGAAATATTTTAGGTGAATATTATCTATCTCTTCTGTTTCATCATCAACATCTTCTACTGCACTGTTCTGGTAAATGCTGAAAGGACGCTCTTCCTCTCTATTTAAAGTGTCCCTAAAGTTTCGGGACGTTGGAGGTGTGTTGCTGGGATGCTGATGTGTAAATATGTGTGGCTTTGTAAACACCCCTTCAGTAAAAGTCTTACTTTTTCTGAGTGCCCGAAGAGGCTTCCCCATGGGTACGTAGGTCGCACAGACATCTTCCTCAGAGTCGTCCGTATGATTTCCTGAATCCTTAGTGTTGACTTCGGTCCTAACAGTGACTTTGTCCACATTCAGATCAGGATCAGCTGCGGCGTGTTCAATGGTAACTGCAGGTACAGCTTCAGAAGCTTCTATCTGAGCTTGCTCGACTTCTTTAGGTGTTACCGGACTACCAGATGGTACCGAAGGAGGCGCCTCGATTTCAAGTGTTGCCTTTAGTGTGTTTGGGGGTGATTTCAGTTCAATTGGCATCGGTCCAGATATAGACAACCTTTTTCCAGACTTGGAGAGGTGATTGGCTGGGAGGTCAACAGGATTAACATTAACATAGTCATCCCGTTTTGGTTTTCTGTTTGAACGTTTACGTCTCCTGAACACCCTCCGCAGTCTGAAATAACCATGGAAACGCAGTGTTATCATTGTTGTGTTCATGGCCATGTTGTCGTTTTCAATTTCAAAAGTGGTTTGGTGGAACATACATGGCTAACACGTGGTTCAGGTTAGTGAGAAAAGGGGTCGCTAATTAGTGAGATTCATAAGTGAGGGTCGCTAATGGTGAGGTCCCATGAACAGGGGTGTAGATTCATATTAGTGATTAAAGGATCGCTAATGGAGATGTCCCATGAACAGGGATGTAGATTCATGTTAGTGATTAAAGGATCGCTAATGGAGATGTCCCATGAACAGGGGTGTAGATTCATATTAGTGATTAAAGGATCGCTAATGGAGATGTCCCATGAACAGCAGTGTAGATTCATATTAGTGAGTGATGTCCCATGAACTAAAGGATCGCATGAACAGGGGTGTAGATTCATGTTAGTGGTCCCATGAACAGCAGGTGTATTCATGTTAGAGATGTCCCATGAACAGCAGTGTAGATTCATGTTAGAGTTCATGTCCCATGAACAGGGATTCGTAGATTCATGTTAGTGAGTAAAGGATCGCTAATGGAGATGTCCGATGAACAGGGTGTAGATTCATGTTAGTGAGTAAAGGATCGCTAATGGAGATGTCCCATGAACAGGGGTGTATATTCATGTTAGTGAGTAAAGGGTCACTAATGGAGTGAACAGCAGTGTAGATTCATGTTAGTGAGTAAAGGGTCCTAATAATGGAGAGTGTTCATGAACATGGTGTAGAGCAGTGTAGATTCATGTTAGTGAGTAAAGGGTCCCTAATAGAGAGGTCCCATGAACAGCAGTGTAGATTCAGGTTAGTGTGTAAAGGATTGCTAATGGCGATGCCCCATGTAGAGCAGTGTAGATTCATGTTAGTGAGTAAAGGGTCCCTAATAGAGAGGTCCCATGAACACCAGTGTAGATTCATGTTAGTGTGTAAAGGATCGCTAATGGCGATGCCCCACGTAGAGCAGTGTAGATTCATGTTAGTGAGTAAAGGATCGCTAATGGATATGTTCCATGAACAGGGGTGTAGATTCATGTTAGGAGTAAAAAGGGTAATAGAGAGGATTCAGTGTAGAGTCAGGTAAGTGTGTAAAGCTAATGGCGATGCCCCATGTAGAGCAGTGTAGATTCATGTTAGTGAGTAAAGGGTCCCTAATAGAGAGGTCCCATCCAGTGTAGATTCAGGTAAGTGAGTAAAGGATCGCCAATGGAGATGTTCAGTGAACAGGGGTGTAGATTCAGGTCCCTAATAGGGAGGTGAACACCAGTGTAGATTCAGGTTAGTGTGTAAAGGATTGCTAATGGCGATGCCCCATGTAGAGCAGTGTAGATTCATGTTAGTGAGTAAAGGGTCCCTAATAGAGAGGTCCCATGAACAGCAGTGTAGATTCATGTTAGTGAGTAAAGGGTCGCTAATAGAGAGTGGTCATGTTAGTGAGTAAAGGATCCATGGAATGTTCCATGAACAGTGTAGATTCATGTTAGTGAGTAAAGGGTCCCTAATAGAGAGGTTCCATGTAGAGCAGTGTAGATTCAGGTAAGTGTGTAAAGGATTGCTAATGGCGATGCCCCATGTAGAGCAGTGTAGATTCATGTTAGTGAGTAAAAAAAGGATCAGCAGTGTAATGGATGATGTTCCCATGAACAGCAGTGTTGATTCAGGTAAGTGTGTAAAGGGTCCCTAATAGAGAGGTCCCATGGACAGCAGTGTAGATTCTGGTTAGTGTGTCAAGGATTGCTAATGGCGATGCCCCATGTAGAGCAGTGTAGATTCATGTTAGTGAGTAAAGGATCGCTAATGGATATGTTCCATCAACAGGGGGGTAGATTCATGTTAGTGGGTAAAGGGTCCCTTATAGAGAGGTCCGATGAACAGCAGTATAGATTCCTGTTAGTGAGCAAATGATTGCTAATGGCGATGCCCCTTGTAGAGCAGTGTAGATTCATGTTAGTGAGTAAAGGATCGCTAATGGAGATGTCCCATGAACAGCAGTGTAGATTCAGGTTAGTGAGTAAAGGGTCCCTAATAGAAAGGCCCCATGTTGAGCAGTGTAGATTCATGTTAGTGAGTAAAGGATCGCTAATGGATATGTTCCATGAACAGGGGTGTAGATTCAGGTTAGTGAGTAAAGGGTCCCTAATAGAGAGGTCCCATGAACAGCAGTGTAGATTCAGGTTAGTGAGTAAAGGATTGCTAATGGCGATGTCCCATGTAGAGCAGTGTAGATTCATGTTAGTGAGTAAAGGATCGCTAATGGAGATGTCCCATGAACAGGGGTGTAGATTCAGGTTAGTGAGTAAAGGATCGCTAATGGCGATGCCCCATGTAGAGCAGTGTAGATTCATGTTAGTGAGTAAAGGATCGCTAATGGAGATGTCCCATGAACACCAGTGTAGATTCAGGTTAGTGAGTAAAGGATCGCTAATGGCGATGCCCCATGTAGAGCAGTGTAGATTCAGGTTAGTGAGTAAAGGATCGGTAATGGAGAGGTCCAAATGAACAAGTACGGAAATTCAGATAAGAGACTTCAGCATCGCTGATGGAGGTGACAATAAACAAGAAGGTAAATCAGATGAGAGACTGAAAGTTTCCTGGTGAAAGGGATGAGTGTATCCCGGATGGACTGACTGACTGAGTATGGTTTTTCGCCGCTTGAATATTGCAACAAAGGGATTCATACATTGTACCTATATGGGGAATCGAACCCGGGCCTTCGGCCTGACGAGCGAATATTTTAACC